AGCAGCAAGCTATGGAACTGCATCAACCGTGTCGCGAATCCCAAATCCAAAGGCCAGTGACAACATCTACTGGGCAGTACTTCCCTACATCCCAGAAGCACTGCGATACACTCATATACTATGGAAACATCAACCTCTATTTCCTACAGATCTATAAAGCACAAAAGCAGTGGAAGGTGACAGAAGAGCTCGGGTATAATCCCCTCCCGCCCCAGAAGTCTCCACATAAACAAATAGTCCATACACAGTATGAGTTAACACAGTGCTCCCTCAATACATACACAACAGCTTTTGGTAAACAGGCCAAGAATAGGTACAGCGACAGCAAAGCATCCAAGCAAGACACCCCTGCAAAGCAGCATTAAGCTCGCAAGAAACATTGGCAATGCTGCTTTTGCTTTAATCAGTTTTAAGAAGAGGAAATTCACTTTGGTTCTTTTTATAATGCCTACTCTATTACATTTGTCAAACAGCTGCCACTTTCTGTCCCAGATATAGCTGCTTTCAGTGGTAACCAAAAGGATCGCCGTGTCTGCGCATGTATTATAGATCAGAGATGCGTATTAGAACAGACTCAGGATCTGTCTAGAGATTATATGTCACTCCTTCCAAGTCAATGGAATTATACAGAGACCCAAGTCGGTGCAGAGCCTGGGTCGTACTTGTATAAACCACTTCAGAAGATGCTCTGGGCCTTGCTGCCTGAATAATGTCGTCTGAAGTGCAAGCTCTGATGCAAAAACATCTTCTTTCCCGACAGCTCCTTTGACAAGGAAGAAATAATTGCATTGCTTGGCCTTTCTAATCAAAATCATCATTGTCCTGGCAATGTAAAAGTCATTTCCAGAGAAAGAGCAAGTCTGATTCCTGAGGGGTTGGGGGCAAATTAGCTTCTGTACAAAAGCCTTGAGATACCTGCCAGCTCCAGCTCAATCGTTACTCCTAACTAACTGCACCCCTGAGACACTCGCAAAAGGCTTGGTGCTATTCATCACTGCCACAAAGTAAAAACAAAGTCAGAAGACCCTGGAAGCAAATGTGAGAAACCAAGATTTCTTTGAATCTTTTTATTATTATTTTCATTAATCTTAATTTTTATTAAGAATTCTAAGATTAACATCAACAATAACACTTTGCAGACGTTAACGATTTACAGCTTTCCTATGAAGTAAGGTAGCCTCAAACCTGTTTTATAGGAGGCATAAGAAGTTTGCAGACTACGAGAGAGCCTGACAGCAAAAAGACAAAGAGCTTCTGGGTCCATCAAATCCTGCCTGCTCCACTAGAAAGGAACCACATCAGGATCAAATCTACGTTCTGCTTTTAGTAAGGTCAAGGAAGTAACAACCACCCAGAACTTTTTTTTTTTCCCCTCACAAGATCATTACAAGGGCAGCTCTTGCCTTTCTCCAGGTCCTTGTTTTTGTTTCCTGATGCAGGGCTGAGAATTTGCAAGGAAAGGCTTAACAACAGCTAATTGTCAGACGCCACAGTAATTAGTGGCAACTTTCCAATGCATCCATCTCTGGCTGGTTTTCCAATAGCTGGCTCCTCCTCAATCCCCACATTAACATGAAGGTACACAAGGTAGGCGGCAGATTCATTTACAAGTACCAAGGTCTTCCCAGGAGAGATGCCTAAGGAAAGAAATATCTTACCTAAGCAATGCATGGGTTGGGTTTTTTTTCCTTCCCATTTGCTACGGGACTGCTATCTTTATTAATAATCTGAGAACGATGTTAACCTATTCACTGACATATATTATTAGATATACAGTGCATTTCTGGGAGTCAGCGGGCTCCCGTATCGCATGTTATTTCTGGCTGGCAAATTATCTCTGCACGAGGAAGACAGGATCATACTGTCCTGTCTTCTGCCCACCTGCTGGTTACACATCACGGCTTTGATGTTACTACTCCACTTGTATCAAAGGTTTTCAGCCTATTTTATTTGCAGACCCTTACAAGTTCCCCAACAGCGAATTCAGGACTGCTTTGCTTAGACTTTATAGACCCCTTCGAAAGAGGCTCACACCACTGCTCTATATATTTAGGCTCTGCTCTCAACTCCGAGGCTCCCCACTTGCTTGGCAGCTCTTCTTGTCACACGCTCCAACGCTTTCATGCCAACCTTTTCCAGGCGTCATCTGCATGTCAGCAGTACTCCACAGCATAGACTCCACTCAACACCAACACAATCCAGAACACATCACTTCCCACTAAGTGCCTACACAGAGCAGACCTGCGGTATAATTACTTCCTCGTGCCCATAATAGAAACCCTAAAAGACGTGTACAAATTTCATCCCGATGCACTCCTGCATTACATATGATGCGGAGGCATTTAATCGAGGGAGGAAAAGATAAAGAAGTCTTTCCCACATTCAGCAACGTGCTTAATTCCATCACATTCAAATCTGGACCCACAAGGTGAGGTACATATGGGATGGGGAAAAGAAAAGCTTATCTTTACATTGAAAATTGAGACATGTTGATGGGACAGCCTAACAGGGGGTGTTGATGGTTTTAATTGTACTGCCTTTATATAAGCAAAGGACCCAATTTCCACATCAAGCTGCCAAACTTGAATTCATCATCTATTTGACTGGAGTTAGAAAGTACTCAACCTGTCGAGAAGTGTCCCCTGAGGAAGGCAACACATGTATAGGACAATTTATTTCCTGCTCTATGACATCTTGGCTTTCAAATAAATATAATTCACTTGCAAATTAATACATAGATGGCCAATATGCTGGCACAGATTTAAGATGACTACATAGCTCCGCAAGCCTTTCACGTTACACAGAAGGGCTAGCACAAAACAGTAAGAAAGCTCATCCTACAGAGCGAGATATCAGAACGTACGCTGTAGGACAGCAGCACTCGTAACAAAATGCAAAAGGAATGGAAACAAACCTCAGGCTACCTGCACTGCCACTATCCCCAAGAAGAACGTCAGATAAGAAGATACCTGCAAGTATTTTGAATCATAAAAGAATGCATTTTACGAAACAAGGCAGGTGGAAGGCTAACCAGCTGGAAACCACACATTAAAAAGGAAATAAAAATGTTACTTGTGCAGTGGGAAATGTTATTAGCGTTTTGTATTAGAAGAAACTTGAGAAGGTTTCTCAACATTCATGGGTTAATCCCGCGTTCTGATACTACTCTCAGGCAACGATTTGCATTGGAAAAGTGACACACTTTCCTAATGCACCAAAATGCATGGGCAAGGGGGAGGGCAGAGGATAGGCAGATAAAACACACACACCCAGCTTGGGGGAACGAGATCTCAACCATTTAAGAAACCGACTGCAAGGGCAGAAATTCTGAGACTCATTAAAACACACAGGTTAAAAAAAACCCCAACCGACTCCTTTATATCCATTAGTGGTTACAGATTATCTGTTGGTTTAGAGTTTTAGGATTCCTACCCCCCCCGCCCCGCCAACAAACGTAAAAGATTGATTTGCTTGATTTACAAGTCTTGATTTTCTGTATTTCACTTGATTTTATCAGTGAGGGGCAGGTCACTTTGTAGTGTTCTCAGTTACATCAACATAGTCCTGAGAAACCCATGTCCACTCACCACAAGTTCACAAGGGCCGATGCCAGCAGAGGGAGCACAGCAATACCTACACACTTCTTGTATGAAAGACTGGATAACGTAAGCTTCCTCAGCAAACGCTAAATTAAAAAAGATATATTGGAACTTGCTTTAAAACTGCTATAGTCTTGTAGGGAACATCCAGCAAGTCAAGGCAGAAGCTACAAACTGTCCTTTCAAATCTACCTGTGATTAGTCAGTCCTCTAAACTGCTCTTGCTGGTAACAGGCATCAATTAACTAATAGCAGTGATTTCACAAAAATGGGATTTCAATTTGCACTTCAAAACTGGCCCTGCAACTGCCATGTAATAACATCAATTTACCTGGTCGGCCAGCGCTCGAGGCCTCCTACGCCCAGGCAATCCAGGGATCGATAGCAGTAAGCCACAGAGCTGTACATGCTTCTGTCTTTATCCTTCCTAACAAACCCCAAAACCTCAAATTGGCTTTGCACCTCTTCTCAGGCAACATCGTTTGCATCTGACAAACAGCCATCTAACCTTCAGGAGCCAAACACAACCACGACAATTGCCAGTAAACAGTACTTTCAAGTATTATCCAAGAAGAAAACTACGGGCTTTTTGCTTTTGAGGATGCGTCTAAATTGCAACCACAGAACTGCAAGCATACTCATGCTAGCTTTTAGCCCAGCAAGCAGGGCCTGTGTCAGCACAGCTTATGAGATGACTGGAAGTCCCAGCTCCGTGTCCCAAATCCCACGCGAACGCTTCCCCTACTGCCTCGCCACATACTAGCCTGTCTGTACTGAAACGGCGCATATCTAAATATGCCTGTGAGAATCACTTGCCTTTTTCACACGGAAGCAAACAAAACCCCCGCATATTTTTCTTGCTGGGTGGTTAAGACATAGGAATCCCAGCCTAGGTTAGGATTTGTTCCTTACAGTAACGGCAAAAATTCCACATGGGGTTAAAACCCCAGAGTTAGGAACCACTTCAAAATGTTCATAGTCTGTTCCTGCCCCCCCAAAAAGGGGTGTTTAGCAGAGATCACAGGTAGAGAAGTGAGAAAGCAAGAACTGGCAAACCTATCTGCTGAGGAGGAGACGAGATCCAATGATCAGAAGGTCCCTTCCAGTTCAGTGTTTTTGTGGGGTTTCCAAAGCAGAAAAATTGCCTCTGGACTAGGAACCAATTCACATTCAACTGCTGTGATCTTGGCTTCAAACAGCTAGCATATGTGGTTAGCTGCATTTCCCACCCCGGTGAAATCATTATTGTGGGCAGTGGGAGGGAAAACAGGCGAGGCAACTGGGAGAGGTGATAGGAGTCAAGCAGCAAGGAGAAAAATCAGGCAGCAGAGACTGAAAGGAAAAAAGAACAAATATACACAGCCAGAAGGAGAGAGACAAACTCTAAAAACTTAAGATGATAGTTATGGCATTTAAAGATGTAACAGCCATGGAAAGCAGACTTAAGATGGGCTCTGGCTCCACATATGCAAGCAAGCCCTGGGAATGCATCAACAACATTCAGCTCATTGGCTGAACGGTCAGAGATCCATGCTACAAATATTCAAGGGAAGATGATGATTTTTCCCATCCTATCTTAACAGCACACAAACAACCCTCCAGTTTTGCCATATATTGCCAAGAAACGGTCTAAGTGAAGGCAATTCAACAATTATGTTTCCTGTTTTTGTGCATTTGCTGCTTTTGCTCTGACTTGACAACTGCCAAAATCCATCGTCACATCCAAACATGAGAGCTAACAGTCTCCACTTGAAAAAATTAGAGAATTTCAGAAAACTCTTTTGGATATCCCCGCTGCAACACAACATCAAGAAGTTCAAGAGCTGTCTGTACCACAGCTGAGCTGCCAGAAATACTTGGCTGTACCGTGCTCAAACAGTGACGGTCAACTACCCCTGCTCCAGAACCTCTTAACACCGAGCTGAACTGATGCAAACTCCCACTTCTCCATGAAAACAGAAATATCTATAAGATAATCACCCGCATGTGACACCCCTTCCAGGAAACAAAGTTATTTAATCTTCTTCATACAGACGTTAGACTTGCAGCACAGAAACCCAGAAATTTTAAAGCCAAAGCTATCATATCGGGATATCACCACACACACACTTTATCAGGTGCACACATAAGCAACAAGAGATCACAAACTAGTCAACAAGGCTCTCTGTGTTTGAATTCGAATATACGCAGCAACAGAACAGCGTATCTAAAAAGCACATTTTGCTGCTCAGCACCTTTGTGAATCCTTAAGACCATTTTAACCAGTTCCAGCTCCTCCAGGCTCCAAGTTGTTTGCGTTTGTACCAGTATAACGGGGTGTTAGGCAGTCAGCAGCAACGCATTAGCCCCACACCAGTAAAATTTTTGCTCGAGGAAAGACGCCTGTGTTTTTGAGTGAAAAGAGACCTCATGTGGGGAAAACAGCTGGGGGGAAAAAAAAAAAAAAAAAACAAAAAATACAACACGAACCTCAACTTCAGCAAAGAATTCACAGGAGCGTAACGCGAGCGTACCAGAGAGAGAGAACCTAAGAGACAACAGCCTTGTCGGTTCTGTCCTCACCGTCTCGCAAGGCAAAACCCCGGCGCGAGCAAGAGGGAACACGCGCCAAGGCGGGGGCACTCGCTGCCAGAGGCAGCGGCGGGCGCGAGGGGTTTGTCAAGTTTCCAAGACACGGGACAGCCCTGCCAAGACGGCAACGAGCGCGTCGGGGTCAGCGCTTTCCGTGACCCTCGAAGCCGGACCGGGCGCTAGGCCTCAAGCCCCCAGGCCGAAACCTGCCTCAGGGGTGGGAGGGACGGGAGGGCCCCGGCCATGGCGGGGGGGCGACGGCCCCTCGAAGCGCAGGAGATGCCGCAGGCAGGCGGGGGAGAGGGGGCAAGGGGGTCTCGCAGAGTAGTTCGGCG